GTTAAGATGAAATTGTAGTTTTAAGAAGTGCTTCGCTTGAAATGGAGTTGCCTGCGCGCATTGTTTATGTTTGTAGTTTATGTCTGCGGCAATATGATTTACTGGAAGATCTACGTGGCCACATGATGTTATATCACAACTATCAGCCCATCAAAACGGCGAACACGAAAACACAGTCTATGGACGCAAGTGGAGAGTCCTTGACGCCGCCTCCTCCTGCGGAACTGCAGCCGCTGCCCTTTAAGGACTTTCGCATTGTGCTGCGTGCCAAGCAACAAGTGAAGTATGTAGCTGGCACTATATGAAAATATCCCTATTTAATGCAATTGTTGTAGTTGTACCTGTTGCGTGTATAAATTTGAGAGCCATCACAAGCTGTCGCTGCACGCCAAATGCCACAAGGACTCGGGCTTCAGTTGCAGCGAGTGCGGTCAAGACATGCCCAATTGGCGACGCTGTTCGCTGCATTTGTGGCGCATGCATCACCTGGATGTGGATCTATTGGAATGTCCCGTGCTCGGCTGCGATTATAAATCTCCCATTTCGGCGCTCGTCTGGCGACACATGCGCGTCCACAGAAACTGGCGGAGCCGAGTCATGCGTCGTGAGCTGCTGCGTCGACGTGCACAAAAGCAGCAGCAGCAGCAGGAGGCGCAACGGCGGCAACAGGAGGCGCACCTTCAGCAGCAGCAGCAGCAGATCGAAGCTACCGACACACAGCAGTCGATGCCAGCAATCGCCACGGCCAAGAAAACCAAATACTATGCGGAAAAAACCTGCGAGATTTGTCAACGCAAATTTGTGAATGGCAAAACGCTGTCCAAGCACGTGAAGACCGTGCACAACAAGATCAAACCCTTCATCTGCAACGTCTGCGGCAAGAAGACAGCGCGGAAGGCGAGCCTAATTGTAATATATGCATACATATATGTATCTAGGACAGCTACATACGATAGGATATGGAATGTATAGCTTCTACAACTATCATCTCATCCATTTCAGATACACATGCGCCAGCACACCGGAGAGAAGCCATTGAAGTGCGATAGCTGCAAATTCTCCACTCGCGATCCCAGCTCGCTCTACAAGCATCGACAGCGACACAGCCTGGAGAAAAGCAGAGCCGATGCCTGATATCCAAAACTACTATAATTAAGTAAAAGTTTGCTGAATTGAATTTAAATGTTCATTTATTGAGTTTACGTTTTCCATTTAATGTTAATATCATTTTAGAATCTGATATGATTTTGTTTTTTTTTTTTTTCTTTACAACATTTGAAATTTGTTTAGCTGTTTGGATTTATGTTTTTATTTGTTATTTAGTTATGGTTTTATGTTTTTATTGAATTTTTAAAAAATTTATTTTTACTTTAGTTTCTTTTTTAGTTTTTAAGTTTTTATTTTATATATTTAAACTAGTTGTTAAGATTAAAAATCTAACCTTTTGTGGTCTTTGCAATTAGCGACGCTCATTTGGGTTTCCTGGTTAATGTATCCAGTATATATCTATATATATTTGCCTCAGTCCATTTAAATGAGATCGGCGCACATAGTACATACATATATGTGTGAATATATGTTTTTGTATTTTGCCTAATTGAGTATATAACTGTTTGTTTTGTTTTTGTTGTTGTCTAAATCAATTTTTATAAATTTGATTGCATTTAATTTGTTTGATTTAATTGAATTTAAGTTTACCGATCTTTGAGTATCATGTATATATAGTATATATATGTATGTATGTGTGTGTCTGTGTATTATTTAAATGTTTTTTTAGTTGTCAAAGTTGTTTGAAATGAGAATTTTGTTCGCGTTTCCTTTAGTAATTTTATTGTCTGCGATTTGATTTGAACATCAAAACTTTTTCATTTTGGGATCTTGTTTTCTGGTTTTTCTAATTTAATAGTTAAATGTAGTAAACGTTTTCAATGGTAAATAAAACAGCGCAGTGTAAAATTGTTATATATATATATTATATATATATAGTTTCTATTTGCTTTCTATGTTGCTTATTTACAATACTTAGAGTTGTTTGGAAATATTGGTTTTAAGATCGTATTCTCACTGATCTCCCACTCTCCCTCTCTTTCACTCCCTCTCTCTTTCTGTCCCTCTCGCTCTCTCAGTTGTTGTTGTTGTTGTTGCTGCCCAAAGTTATATTCTAGGCCTTGGTCTCAGCGACGACGACCACTATGCTCGTTCTCATCTTGCAAAACGAATAAATTCAGCAGTAAAAAGTATATAAAATAGAGAATTATGGAATTTACATTTAGTTAGCTGCCACAAGAGCCCAGAGCCAACAAAATTACCATGCATAGAAAAGGGTATTGTGTGTGTGTGTGCGTGTGTTTGTGTGTGTGAATGGGGCGGCATTCAGGCAGTCTCTAATTGTGATTTGGTGAGCTATGAGCGCGAAGTTGTGCACAGAGATTTATTTTTGATTAGGGAGACGAAACAACAACAACGAGTTCAACAATGAGCGTGACACGATCCTAACTGTATGATCTCAGTATATATATATTTATATCTATAGATATATACTTATTATTATGCTATATAATGGTTGATTGGGCTACGTCTATGAAACAACTAACGAATTTACTCTAGCTCTTCTAGTTCTATATAAATATATTTTGATCTAGGCTGCAAACGTGAATTGAACCGGAGTTTGATATAGTTCTTCTGCCAGCTTTACGATTGAGCAAACTGGTATGAAACGAGGTTTTAGCGTGGCATGCCCTTGAGGGGCTTCAATCTTGAATTTGGGTTTCCTGAAGTATAAGATCATGATCTTCGACTAAGATAGGCAGCTGAGCTTAAGTTTAAGCATTTGTCTGTCAACCTAGCCTATGCATTCATTAGATGATCCATTGCTGTTTCAGACCAGGATTCTAAGTGGAATTTTTATTAAGAATTAAAATTGAATTTAGTTAAGCATGAAATGAATTTTTGGTTTTAGCTCTAAGCCCAATGAATGAATCTATTTTTTAAGCATATTCATGAACTTAGAACTTGAAACCAAGGCAGTATTTGAGCTACTTGAGTTGATCGTGAAGCACTTTTGGTATACATTTCATAATTTTTGTTGATTTGAGACAAGATTAGAATAATATCTAGTTTGCTAATCAATCTAAATAATATACAAATAAATATTTGCTTATTAAATAATTCATTGTACGCCATAAAACCAGATTTCATATAGCCGTTCTCAAGCCGTGAACTTTCAGCTAGCATCGGGAAATGTTTATTGGGTTTGCAGCTCTATTAGATATTGACATATATAATCGTTTGACTCTACGCTCCGTTGATCCAAAACGATCTTTCGACTATAATGCTTTCACTTTATTGGAAATTTACGCAAATCTTAAAATGTAAAACATTTTCACTTACTTTCTACTTGGATTAATTTTCGACTATATTTCGACTTGATTTCTTATTTATTGGATAGTTCACTTTCACTTTCACTTTGACTTTCTCTTTTGGTTTTTGTTTCTCTTAATTCTCTCTTTACTTGTGCGTCGCATAATAAATGCTGTGGTCCGTCCCATTACGGACTGACCAGAAGAACAAAATACTACGTTTTACCATCTAGATGTAGGGCGAATAGCCCCAGCCTGTCCCTAGCTGAGAAAGATTTCTCTTTAGTTTCGTTTGGCTAGTGTTTTCTTTTGGTTTTGCTTAGAGTCTATTAGGAAACAGTTGTATCTACATAGGTCTATGAGCATTTCTTTTTATATATTTATGTATATAAAAAAAACCTAGTGGAAGTAGAAAATTGTTCACTCCTTGAACTAAAAGTCTAAAGTGACGATCGCTTTATATACAGTGGGTGGAAAATGTATTCCGACAAACTCAGGCCTAGAAAAATTGCTTATAAAACGAGTCCGAGTTCGAGTCTTATGCACATGCTATATATATATATTTAATATATAAAACCGAGTTTTAAATACGAAATAAAAATTTGCCTCATATTTAAGTTTTTTTTTTCATTCTCTGCTTCTTCTACTTGTTGATTTGTTTTTGATTTAAATGCATTTTAAAAACAGGTGAACGACTTTGACTTTGATTACGGTATCATTTTTGATTTCCTTTTGTTTTTTTCTTCATTATTCTTATATTGCCTTTTGATCGCGTTTCGTATCGCATTTTAGTTTGATTTGTTTGCAGTAATATTTTGAGTTTTTTTTTTTTTTTTTTAAATTATTTTTTATCAGTTCCGGGGCACAATTCTGCACGTTATTTGAGTCGTGTTCGATCAGACCGTGGTCACACGATCGATCTCCACGTAACGCACAGAATTGTCGCTTTGTCAGCAAATCACCTCCTTTTCATCCAGCACAGCCGTATCCATCGAGCTGAGCGACTTGAGCCGCGTCTGCAGCACCGAGGAGCCGCGCA